ATCACTAGGGCAGTCAGACAGCATGTGCTCTGCGCTTCATCTAGCTGCTTATACCCAGCATTCTTACTTGGAAGTTCCTGTGCATTGCACTTATTAATAATTCATCCTTTCTGCTGCTAAATAATATTCTATTGCATGGGTGTATCACAGTTGTATTTAATCATTTATCAGTTGATGGACATTTGAGTGGTTTCCGGTTTGGGCAATTATAAAATAAAGCAGTTGCAAGCGTCATGTACAAAGTCAGCTCTCAGAGTCGTTCCCTGAACTGTTTCTTTCATTGCTTTTTGTTTGTTTGTTTTTGTTTTGTTTTGTTTGCTGGAAGGTGAATTTGCTTCTGTTATTCTATTGTGTTCAGGAGCAGAAGTCCGCTTTCTTTCTTTTTTCTTTTTTTTTTTAAACTTGGTACTGTTTCCTACGCAGAAGACATGCTGCCTTGACTGCAAGTTTTTGACAACACGCAAGCAGTTTCAGATTCTTGTGGAGAAAGTGTGCTCTGGCGCTCACTGACAGTTAATTTTTTGGGAAAGTTTCCTTCTAGGCAGCTCGACTTTCCCTTCCTTCTACCTCCCTTCATCCTCCCATCTTCTTGGTGCTCGGAAGGGGACCCACATCCTCTTTCATAGCAAGCAATCTCTCTACCACTGGGTCCCACTTCTAACTCTCTGTTTTGTTAGGTGTTTTTGCAGAGGTTCTTTCTTTCTTGAGATAAGGCATCATCACTGTTTAGCACAGGCTGGCTTCATACTCTTTAGTCCTCCTGATGGGATTACAGTCCCATATTACTCACAGTCCTGGCTCCAGAAGTCATGCTTGTTTGTTGAGACAGGTCACTCTACATAGTCCTGGCTGTCCTGGAACTCACTATCAGAGATCATGCTGCCTCTGCCTCCAGAGGATTAAAGACATGCACCACCACATTCAGCCCAGGAGTCACATTTTACAAGAGCAAGTGGCTGGGCCTGAGTACTCTCAACTCCATTGCACTCAGAGCTGTCCTTCTCATGTGGCCACTTCCCTGGAGGACTTTTGAGGCTTTGTTTAGTTTGATGGCTGTGTACTCACCACAGAGGAAGGGCATTCTGTGTCACTCCCAATCTCACTAAGTGTGACTATTGCCTGCTATAACATCACCGTGAGCCTCCTCACCTGTGCGTCTTAATTGCCTTCCTACAGGGAAGAAGCATGCTGCCCTTAGTGCTGGTGACTAATATGTGACTTCAATTTGGACCCTTCACCACCTGGAAGGACCAAGATCCTTATCTTTGCCCAGCCATGAGCAGAGGTGTTAGTGAAGGGATTTCCAAGGTGGAGTTCACATGTGAGGTACTGCCCACAGTCTGCTTCTGTGTCTTCCTTCCCACTAGATCCAGACTAAGAGTGTAGCACAGTGCGTTGAATACTACTACATCTGGAAAAAGATGATCAAGTTTGACTGTGGCAGAGCTCCTGGGCTGGAGAAGAGGGGCAGGAGAGAGCTGGATGAGGTAGAAAGGACTGAAGACAAGGTAGAGGATGCATGAAGGAGCAGCCTGGGTGCATCTTTGGTCCAGCCAGAGGCTGGGGGAGGCTCCTAAGGGAAGGTCTCCCTGCAGAGGACGTTTCCACACAAGTGCCTTAAGTCATCTTTACCCCTTCTGCAGATCACTTGCAGCCCTCGGGAGAGACCCACCCACCGTCCAACTCCTGAGTTAAAGACCAAGAGTTACAGGAGGGAGTCTATTCTTCACTCCAGCCCAAGTGCAGCCCCCAAGCGTACCCCTGAGCCTCCAGGGAGTGTGGAGAGCCAGGGCGTGTTCCCTTGCAGAGAGTGCGAGAGGTACTAGCCTTCCCTCTGGACCTCCACCCTCTTGTTTGACTTACCTCCCAAGCTCCTCCAGCTCTGACCCACATCCTTGTGACTCCTCAGAGTGTTCGACAAGATCAAGAGTCGGAATGCCCACATGAAGCGCCACCGCCTCCAGGAGCACGTGGAACCCGTCAGGGTGAAGTGGCCTGTGAAGCCCTACCCTCTGAAGGAGGAAGAGGAGGAGGAAGAGGAAGAGCTGGGAGCTGACATGGGCCCCCTGCAGTGGTGACTCCTTGCTGGAAGCTGGTTTGCAAGAGGGGATCCAGCCCTTTGCCAGTGCCCTGGGCCTCTCAGAAGTGTTTCAGGCACCCTTCCCCTCTCTCCTCTCAATGTCCAGCTTTGCTAGCAAGCTTGGCTGGCATTTGGACATGAACAGGAGAAGCTGTCACAAGTAGCTCTGAAGTCATGTGGGTGACCAGAGGCTCCATTCTTTCCTGGTTAATAGTTGCATATTTGTAGTCCCATTCACTTGGAGCAGGGGACCCTGGGAGGCAGGTTTGGTCTAGGTGGCTTTTAGATCTGAGCTATAGGCATGGGACTAACATTGGTTAGAGAGAATCAGTGAGGACACCTGAGATCCAGTGAGCTCGGCCCTCCTCTAGGTGGGGCCTCCCTGCATTCCCATCATCCCTAGTCTTGCAATGACTGTATATTGTTAGGTGTGTTTTTTATGTGTCTGCTTGTATCTTATTAAATTGGGTTCTTAAACAGCCGTTTTCCAACTTCCCAGCCTGTGTGCTCTGCAGAAGCTTCAGGGCCACACACAGCTGGGGCCAAGAGGTGAGCAGGGAGAAGGTTAAGCAGCGCACACCAGCAGTTCCCAGTCTGTAGGTGGGAACATACACAGAGAAGCAAAAACCCCTTCCTCAGAGAGCTTCGTTTAGGAGAAGACTTGGTAGCAGTTGTGAATGAGCACATAGGTGATGGCCATGATAATAGACTGAAGCCAGAAAAGCATGTGTGGATATAGCTGCTCAACCTGAAATCAAGGATAAGGACCCTGGCAGCAAGCAGAATGAGATCTTGGCTGCAGCCCATGTAAGGACAGGAACCCCAGCCTCAACTTGCAAGAGAATAGGGAAGAGCCCTGCCTCGCCTCCTGTGTCCCAGGGCCCCATCCCAGAACTACAGAGGTCTCACCAAGGGACCACATCTCAGCTAAAGATTAAAGGCAGGGAGGGAATTAATTTTGGAGCTGTTGAGATGCCCTGTTTGAGGGAGATGGTGCAGGGCAGCCCAGGAACCAGAATTGGCCCTCTTCTTAGTAATCTACAAACTGATTTCCTGCTTGAACATGCTTTCCCAATGCATGTAAGCTGGTAAATGAGGAAATGTACTTGGTTTGCTGGGTGTTCCCAGTGACCTAAGCATGGCTATGCAGTGTGCATTCCACTGCTCTGCCCTGAGTAGCCCAACTCCTTGAGTGGAAATGCAAGTCTGACCATATGGGTGAGGATATATAATCATCTATTGCTGCTCCAAAAATATGACACCTTGTAGCAAATGGAAGTGGAACCAAAACTGATTGTGGCCATCCAAACTCACCAGCTCTGTGGTCAGAATACAGTGGTGAGCGTAGGGACATTCAAACAAGTGTTCAGTGAGAAATGGTCAGGGGGAGCTGTCTTTTGCCTTTTTCTGTCTCCAACACCCAACTCACATAACACTTTCCTCAAATGTTCTCTGCTAGCTAACCAGTAAAGTGCAGTGCGGATACAGATCCCTGCACCACACCTCTGTTGGGACTGGAATCATTGTGGGCCGGGCCCTGGAGGCTGGTCTTCTAGATGAGATTTTGAGAATAACTGTAGATTTACAGAAACCTAACATCATACCAAAAACTTGAACATACCCAGTTTCCCCCATCAACATCTTACTATACTTTTTCACTAATTTTTAAAAATTTATTTTTTTGTGTGTGTGTGTGTCTCTCTCTATGTGTAGGCCAGTGGTTGATATCAGAAATCTTTCTCAAATGTTCTTTATCTTTTTTTCCCTTTCTTTTTTAAAAAATATTTATTTGTTTATTTATTTATTTATTATGGATACAATATTCTGTCTGTGTGTATGCCTTCAGGCCAGAAGAGGGCACCAGACCTCATTACAGATGGTTGTGAACCACCATGTGATTGCTGGGAATTGAACTCAGGATCTTTGGAAGATTAACCTCTGAGCCAGCTCTCCAGCCCCTCCTTTTTTTTTTGTTGTTTGTTTTTGTTTGTTTGTTTGTTTGAGACAAGGTCTTTCACTGACCCTGGAACCCTGGAGCCACACACCCACTGCTGTTATACTATATATATGTGCTAATATACTCAGCTTTTTACGCCAGTCGAGGTATCCAAACCCAGGTGCCTCCTGCATGTCAGTTGAGCCACTGAGTCATCTCCCCAGCTCCTCCTGTGCCCCTTTGACATGCCCATGCCATTCTATGTGTGGTACTGAAAGATCCCCCAACCTTGTGTGAGTGTGTGTATGTGTGTTATGTGTGTGGGTTAGAGAACAACTTGGCAGGAGTCAGGTCTCACCTTCCACCATGTTGGTCCCAGGAATCGAACTGTGGTCGTTAAACTTGTTAGATAGTGCTTTTACCAGCTGAGCCATCTATCTCATCAGCCCTCCAGCTAGAAATGGAGACTTTCTGGACTCCCAAACCAGTTCCGGAGATGATCACCAGAGGGCGTAAGAAGTTTTCTTTTTTTTCTTTTTTTTAAACTACCAAGCCTTTCCCATGTGACTAAAATGAGGTAAAGCAGGAGGCGGAGCTAAACTGATAGATCTGTCAAACCCGGAGCGTGAACCTTGAGGCATCACGTGAGCATAGCGTCACTAGTCAGCTGATTAGTTCGTCCCAATTCCGCAGAGGCGTGGCAGAACGAGTCATAGCGCCTGCTGATTGGTTGAAGGGAGTCAAAGGTCGCGCTGGAGGGGTGTACTTAGCAGTACGGGATCGTGATTGGCTTGTGTGGTGTCACGTGGCAATACGCGACGGGGCTCTTAGGAAGCTAGTGGCGTCAGTCCGCGGGCGTGTGCTCGTGTTGCGGGTCAAGGGGTGGAGTGCTATGGCAGGAGGGGGCGTGGCTAGAGGGGCGGCCTCCGCAGCGCGTGCCCGCTGGTTGGTCCGCACGGGTCACGTGGCGCAACAGGGGCCGGGCGACGTCAACGCAGCGGGCGGAGCTCTTCCGCCGAGTGTGCGGTGTCCGGGGCCTGTAAGTAGTCGCCCGGCTGTGTCGGGCCTGAGCCGAGCAGTTTCGTGGCATCGTGGCATCATGGATAACTCCGGGAAGCAGGCTGAGGCAATGGCGCTGCTGGCTGAGGCGGAGCGCAAGGTGAAGAACTCGCAGTCCTTCTTCTCCGGCCTCTTCGGGTAAGCGGCGGGCGGAGAAGGGGGAAGAGTGGGCTCGTATGCCCTCTGCCCTGTGGAAGCCTCTCTGCGGCCTTGCAGACCCTGGCCGGGGTCCTGTGGACGACGACACCCGCTGAAGGTGGCCATGCCTTTCCCAGGCTGGTGTCCATGGGTCTGTGCGTTGGCCAGGCTGCCAGGGTGAGGTTACTAGCCCCGGGGGACCCGGGCTGGGGCGACCCTGGGCATGATGAGCCGGAGTGTGAAGTATGAGTGGGGCTCTGGGTAAGAGTGACTGATGGCAAAGAAGCCTGGCCTAAGACACGGAGACCCTCATCCCTCCCACCCCTGGGTGGGGCATGAACGGACACTGACTGACTCTGTTTTGGCCGAGGAAATGCCTGGTGATGGCAGGCACCCAAGAGAACCAGAGGAGGGTAGAGGCCTACTGGGTGGTTCTTAAGTTTGGGGTCTGAACACATCCAGGAGGTGGCAGGCACCTCATACAAAGTTTATGAAAGTTGGCCCTTTTCAGCCATTTTAACTTAGGAACAACAGAGCCCAAGCTTGACATGTAATTCAGAGGCTTCTTATCACAGTGGAAATATATTTTCCTGAAAGGGCTTATTAGTTAAAAACTAACTGCAGGAGGTTTTTTTTGTTTGTTTTTGTTATTGTTGTTGTTAGTGTGGACTATGTATAATGTGCTCAGAACTGAGTCTAATGTGGGCTCAGAGCTCCTAAAAGCTCACTAGCCAGGAGGAAGCAGAGTATATGAGGCTGATGGGAAGACTGGAGAGCCTGAGAGCATCTGGAGAAAGGCTGTGCAGGGGAGAGGGCCCCAAGTCTTGGGATATAGGATGGGTAAGGACAGTACAAGGAGCAAGCAGAGTTACTGAAGAAACATCAGAAAGGCATTGGGAAAGGGGGCAGGCAGGTGGTGGTGAGGAAGGAGTTGTGCTATGGGGTAGGGCACAGAATCAGAAGCCTCCAAAGTAAGGACTGCAGAAGAAGGAAGAGCTTGCCAGAAAGCTGGGGAAAGGCTGGAAGAAAGTCCTGGGTTCTGGGAGAGATTGTCAGGAGCTGAATGGAGAACAGAAAGAAATGAAGGGGAGGGAGAAGATGACGCCACCCTTGTTATTTGAGGTCAGATAATGTTTAGCAAAGGAACTTACCTGCAGTTTGTACCTGCTGCAGTCATCCAGATTCTGATGGGCTGTGTCAGTTAGACAAGGAATGTTTCCCCTGAGAGGGAGGGTGTGTGTGTGTGTGTGTGTGTGTGTGTGTGTGTGTGTGTGTGTGTGTATTTCTTCAATCTTCACAAGGAAGTAAGTTCAGGCATGATTTTGGAGTGGTGCCTCAGGCTCAGTTTTCAGCAGTAGGTTTCCTGATGACTGGTCTGGTCTCTTTGGCGCAGAGAGATAAGTGTGTAGTTGAGCTACACCCAGAGGAGCAGCTGTGAGTCCTACCTGTTTACCCCTTCCTACCACTGACAGAGCAGAACTGTAAAGGCCAGCTTGTATCATTCACACAGATCCAGAGTTGAAAGGAAACTTTGAGGGAGGCTCATGGTAAGGAATGAGGCAGGGAACTGAAGCCTAGGAGAGCAGTCTAAGCAGCAGGGATGGTGGGAACAAAGGTCTGGTGTGGGAGGAGTTTTTCCTGCCCAGGAAGGGATAGGGACAGAGATGGCTTCCTAGAGGAAGCTTGCGTTCACTGGCTGAGTAGGAGATCTAGGAGTTCTCTCTTTTGGTGAGCAGCAGAAGGAACCAGCTTGAGAAAAGGCCCAGAGCCTGCCTGCTGAAAAGTTAGTACAGGCCGAGTTCCAAGTCAGGTTGAGACCTTAAAAGGGAAGAAGTGGGAGGGGAGGCTGGTGATAGATGAGGCCTGTGAGCAGGATTTTAGAGGGGGCCTGTCCCAGTGGATTCCTCTTTACCCTTTAAAAGGAAAGAGCTGCAGTGACGGGTTGGGGGACAGTGGTATGGGAAGCTGTTACAGTGTTGGTGGGTAAGGTCTGCCAGTTGCTCACTCTGCTGCTCAGGCTTGCCTGGGTCTGGCAGTCAACCATGTTTAGTGCCTACAGAATCACTGTGGAGGTGGGTAAAGGATGGAGAGGGCAGCCTAAACTTGATTTGTCTAGTAGCTCGGGAAGTAGAGGAGGTACCAGACAGTCATACCTGGTCCGTGAAGTTCTCCAGCCCACTCCATTAGCCTGGTGCTATGCCTGGTGCTATGTCAGACACTCAGACCTGCTTGTGGACACTGCAGGTAGGGAGGGCATTGACAGGCTAGTTTGGTGGGCTGCCTCCCTTAGACTGCTGCCTGTCCCCCCAGCAGTTTTCTACAAACATTTGAAAGAACAGGTGGGTTTCTTCTGGTCCTCCAGGAAGAGTAGAGAAGACATTGTAGGGAAGTGAAGGCCTGCTGTAACTGGATGTGGGGAGGGGGGCTTGGATATACTCCAAGATCTCCTGGAGAGAAACCACCACTAGATGTGCACTGCTCTGGCCCCTCCTCTTGGAGCTGGGGCTGCCAGGAAACATTTGACTAGTGGCCTTCACTCAGCCACTCCCTAAGGCTTCTTCTGCTCTAGGGAATGTCAGTGATGACAACTTCTCCAGTTAAGAGGTCTCTGCTCCAGCTACAGGGTCATGTAGGCTTTCCTCAACTGGAGTGTGGTATCTTGTTGCTCACCCATTCACTCTTCTGGATTTCTGGGGTGATGGACACTAGGGGGTTATGAAACACCAGTCAGTTTACCATCAAAGCCTTTTTAGCACCTTCCCTGGGTAATAGGCATTCCTGCCTGAGAGTCTGGGCACTCTTTACCTCTTTCCTGCTCCTCTGCTGTGCATCATGGGTACTGAACAGGTCCTGAAGGGCAGTTCTGTTCTTAGGGTTCTTCCTGATCCCTACCTTCTCCCTGCAGCCTTCCTTTCAAAAACAAACCCGGGTGGGAAGCAGAGGCTGGCAGATCTCTGTAAGTTTGAGGCCAGTCTGGTCTATATAGCGAGACCCTTTCCTGTGGGATGCCACTGTTGTTTTCTTCCTCTAGGAAACAAGGTCAGAGTGATCCCCTCTTCCCACTGTTTTTCTATGGAGTAGGCAGGTTGATTTGGAGTGTGATGAGTGCTGTTAACTTTGAGTGTGCGTACTAAATGTTCACCAGTGTGATTCTTAGTATCACTGCTGCAAATTGAGCTGGAGGCACTGGAAAACTGGAGGAGGTGGCAGAGTGTTCTGTATACAAACAGCCAGTTCCTCAACTTGACTTGTTGACAAGCTGGTTCCGGTGACAAAACTGCCTGAGGGCACCAGGAGTCTCAAGGCCAACTTTGGAAGTAAGCTGGACTCCTTGGGGAGGGAGGACCTCCACTGGGCCCACAGGCATTCTACAGAGCCTAGGACAGGCTCTGCTTTGTAACTGCTCCCCTGCCATCTGCAGAAGCCCCCGTATCCTTCAAGAAGGAACCATAGTGCTCACCAGCTGCCAGGATACACAGCTGAAAACTTGGCATCTCCTGCCTGGTCCGTAGGGCAGGTGAGGTTTCTGGGGGAACCCCAGAGCTCCTGACTTGACAGCAGGGCCCCTGCTGACTTGTTGCACAGATTTTTTGGTTTCTCCTGTGCAGAAGTTGCGAGAGGCCAGGGATTTTATTAAGTAAAGCAAATGTTGGCATTCTGAGACGTGATGAGTGAGATCCTGTCAGGGGCACAGAAAGGAGACCTTCCAGGCTGTGTGAGTGACATTCCCTGGGCTGGCAGTTTTGTGGGACAGCAGACTCACTGTTAAGTACAATGTTGTCCCAGTGTGTCCTCCCTTAACCACCCTCCACCCCCACCCCATCCCCGCAGACACCAGCACCTGCTCAGATCCCTCCCATGAGAAGGTGTAGCATTTACATAAACCTACACACAGCCCCGCTCCTGTACCCTTTGAGTCACCTGCAGGTTACTTCTTTGCAGTGTCAATGTGGTAGAATTGCCTGGTCTATGACAGGGGAGAAGCTAGGACATACTTGTGATCCTGATGGATTTCCTCCATGGGGACAGACTCAGAGACATCGGCCACTGCCTTGTCAGCACTGGGAGATTGATGCGGGAAGGGGAGACCTGGGACTCTGGAAACAGAGGAGGAGTGCACAGCTCACCGGAAGGGGGAAGGCCTCAGAGCCCACGCTGAGCTGTTGAAGTGGGGAAACATTCCTGAGTCTGAGCTCTGTGGAGTCTGATGACAGTGACACCCTCACCAACAAGGTGCAGAGCCCTATCCCTGTGACAGGGAAGGCAAGGGTGCATCGCCACAAACCACTCTAAAGTGCCCATTGAGAGGGGGATTGTTTCCTCTGTTTTGTGGCCATCTGAGTACCTGCTGGACACTGTGCCCAGGCAAGGTACTGAGTGTGTGTTGTCTCTCAGATTTCTCCTGGGTTATGGGGTCAGGTTCAGTTTCCACTGTGCAGCTGAGGAGAGCTCTAGGGTACTAATCCAAGGTCACAAACGCAGCAAAGTGCCTGAAACATTTCCTGCCCATCACTGTCTTACACAGGATGAAGTAGACAGGACATGCATGGCTAGCCTGTCCTGCAGAAGCCCCTGGTCACTGCCTGCACTTTCCTGGCACCATTCAACACTCCATATGGCAGCTGCGCCTGGGAGGCCTGAGGCTGCTTCCTCCGCGCGTCTTGGGGGAGCAAAGCTGAGCAGTAATTATAGACAGCCTGCACCAGGCCAGCCCCAACCAGTTCCCTCTATTCCCAGTGAGGCAGGAGCTGTGGGCTGAAGAGTGCAGCCGAGGCAGCTCGGAGGAGGTCAGTGGGGGAGGCCTGTCAGCTGTCACGTGCAGCCCTACCCAGGCCCTTCAGGAGGCAGTGAGCGTGCGGTGCATCATGCAGGAGGCATCCTTTCAGGGTCAGGGTCAGAGGTGACTGAAACAGCTTCCCCCAGCTGGGATGGGAAGCCTCAGTGAGCCAGCAGAGGAGCAGCATGGATGTTGGCTCTGAGGGCATCTTCCATCTGGTCACTCTCATGTCAGAGCAAGGCCTCCACTCTTCCATGCATGTCCTGTCTGCTCCATCCTTGTTGTACCATGCCCTACCCTATCCAGCTGACCCACTTCCCTTCCTCAGTTCCTCAAGCATGTTTCTGGCTCAGCCTTTGCACATGTTATAAGTCTCACCTCCAGTGCTCTTCCCTTCCCTGGGATAGCTTCTTGGCCACTGAGGGCTGAGCCCTGGCCTCACACCATCACAGCCCTCATGCCAAGCGTCTGTGAGCAAGCATGCTGATAATGTGGAGAGCAGGCTCTGTGAACAGCTGTCATCAAATCCTCAGATACTTGTTTCACAGCTAAGGAAATTGTACATGGCTTCTTCAGGATTTGCTGGGTAAACTGCACAAGTGAATTTGCCCCTTAGGGACTTTGCTCCCATCTGTAAAAGGAGCTGGGACTCTGGAGATCTTCTGTTGACACCTCACAGAGGCAGGGCAAGGACCAGGGTATCAAGACAGGAGGCAGCCTGGGGCCAGAGCAGGCGGTAATCCCTCTGGCTTTCATTGCAGTAGACAGGTCAGCCCAGCTTAGAGTGGGATCAGAGAGCTGCAGCCAGCAGCTGGCAGACTTTGTGCTGAGTCTGCCTGTTGTGCTGAGCTGAATAAAACCTAGCCAGCAGTGACTGTTCTCATTACCACTCTGCCTCAGGCTTCTTGATAACACCAGACTCGTCTGCTCTGCCTGGAGCGTCTGGGGCTACTTGCGGCTTAGTTCCACCCATCAAGAAGGGATGAACTGAGGGATCACTGGAATGGAAAGATCTGTTTTTAATGTCTGTGAGCATGGCTTGTTCAGACAATATTCCAAAGAATGGAGAGATGCAGTTTAGAGCACTTGTTGCTCTTGCAGAGGACCCTAGTTCGATTTCTGGCACCCACATGGTAATTCACAACTGTCTGTAACTACAGTTCCAGTGTACCTGATGCCCTCTGCTGATCTTCTTGGACATCAGGCACTCAAGTGGTGCACATACATACAGGCAAAACACTTATACACATAAAATAAATGTAAAAATAGACATTGCAGGGACAAAGCTCAGTTGGTAGTGAGTTTGTGTGACATACTCAAAGTCCCAAATTCAGTCCCAAGCATAAAGGCTAGCCTCAGCATGTAGCAAGGGTCAAGGCCAGCCTGGGTATTGAGGTGCATGAGACCCTGTCAGAGACAGAATATTCCTGGGGTTGGGGCTGTCAGTGGCAGAAAAGATTCCATCGTATCCAGAGAGCTTTCCAGAGACAATTCTCATGGGGGTGCTTTCCATCCATGTCCAAGGGGCCCTCCTGATTTAATCTATGCCAACAGCAACATGGACATTTCTGACCTCACTATGATAGGGAGTGCCTAAAGGAAAAAACGGGTCCTAGTAATGTGGGGGAGGGGCATGGAAGCACTTCACTTGATGCTGTTTGGATTTAGGAGTCTTCCTTCAGGCCATTTGCTGGCTTGGCACAATGGTCAGACTTGACTGGTCACCAAATCACCTGGTCTCCAAACTGTAGTAATTAAAAGGCCCAATCCATGCCCACCCACCTACTGAGCAAGTGTGCAGGCATGTGGTTGTTGGTGCTGCCTCACAACGATCAGGTCTGTGGTCTGGCTCGGGTCACACATGAACAGAATGACCCCCAGGACCCTGTAACTGTGATAGATAAGGCCAAACCCGCAAGCATTATCCATGCTGGGTCCATTGCCATGGTGGTGTAGGACAGGTGGTAAGGACGGGGTTTGTGCCTTTTCATGGGAAAATGTCCCTTTTTGTTTTTTAAACACTGCCAGTGTGGGAAGGATTTGAAATCCATTTGAGGACAATGGGGTGTTTAATTTTGTTGATTGCTCGTGTGGTGGATGAGAGTTTTGAACAGTTGCTGGGTCACAGACCCTATAGGAAGACAGAATTTGGAAGGGAGTTTGAGCTAATAAGAAAGCCCCCTGTCCCCTGGCCAAGGAGGAGGTTCATATGAACCTCTTAGAAGTTGAGAAGCCAGGGTAAAGCCCAAAGAGGTGCCCTTTATTTTAAAATAACTACAAGCTATTTAAAAATACAAGCAGGAGATGTAGCTCAGTGGTAGAGTACTTGCTTGTTAAGCCAAAGCCCAATGTGATGGTGCAAGCCTAGGAGATGAGACAGTGGGATTAGGAGTCCATTGTCACCTTCTCCAGTGTGCTGTAAATTTGAGACCAGCCTGAACTGTATAAGACCCTGGCTCAGCAAACAGACTAAAATGTCCCCTCCACTTGTATGTCTCTCAGGCTCCTACCTTGGTGGGTTTCCATTTTCAGAATGCTGTGCCAAATGCCTTTGCAACTCTTCTGGTTGTGTCTTCGGATTCATTGCTGGACTTCAGGTCAAATATAAATTCTGATATTAAAACATAGGGTAGAGGTAGAGCTGAGTTGGTAAAGCACTTGCCTAGCATGCACAAGGCCCTGAGTTCCATCCCTATCACCACATAGTGCACACCTGTAATCCCAGCATGCAGAAGGTGGCAGGCAGCAGGAAGAATTAGAGTTTGAGGCCAGCCTGAGCTATACATGAGCCACGTAAAAATAAAATAATGAAATACATTTTCTGAAAGAGATAAAATGTGTAGATGGTACAAAACAAACTAACAGAGCAAACATGTACAGTGAATGTCGCCCCCTCCAGCCCTGATGCTGCAGGCCCTACCTCAGGAAACAATGCTATACTAGGTTTGGGTATATTATTCCAGAAACAGTGCTTATATAAATGTGTGTTTCTTTTTTTTTCTACTCTCTTATTTTTTATGTAAACAGGAGCATTTTATATTTATGTCTTGTGATAATATTTCTCCGTACGGCTGGCATGTGCCTTGTCTGTCCTGTTCTGAAGTGTGACAACACACTCAGTAGTGAGGTCTTCCTGGAACCATGGCCATATGCAAAGCACAGGTTCAGGATCGGGGCCTTGGGGATCCCCCAGAATGCTTTGCAGCCTCCTGTGAATTCACTAGGTCCATGTGGTCACCTACCATATAGGCAGGAAGTAGAAGAGGGAAGTCAGGCTGTGGAGGAGGGGAGGTCAGGAACCACCAGCACTACCGTGGGCACCCACACACTCCCTCCAGGAACAGTAGTACCAGCCTTCCACCTGCAGACTGCCTGTTATGCAGGGGTCAAGGCACAGTTTAGCTGTTGGCAGGGCAGAGTGTGGGTTTGCTTTCTGACTGGATGACTCTTTACTTCTTAAAGATGATAGGAGACTGGATGATCTCTTTACTTCTTACCTTCCCTTCTCCCCAGAGGTTCATCCAAAATAGAGGAAGCATGCGAGATCTATGCCAGAGCGGCGAACATGTTCAAGATGGCCAAGAACTGGAGCGGTGCGTGCACTCAGCCCACAGGCCCGGCCCTGAGTATGGCCTTGAAGTCCCCTCTCCAGCATCAGGAGTACACAACATGAGACCAGTGGGATGCTTTGCCCCTTAAGCTGGGGGTAAATGTGGGGGGCGGGTTTCTTTTTTGAGGAAAGGAGGCAGGGAGGGCATCCACTAGGCCTCCAGATGAGATCTGTTGGGACAGCCCATCACTTGATTTCATAGTATGGCTTCCTCTGTCTGCAAGGTTAGTCCAAGGAGCCGAAGCACGCTCAGTTTGGGAGCTCAGGGAGGAGCTTTCTGGACATGGTGGGGATGACAGTGGGTACAGAGGTTCAAGACAGACTCATTTATTACCACATCCTGAGTGCGGTTACCAAAGTTCAGTTCTCCGGGGACTGTTACTTAATCACAGGTTGCTCTCCTGCCCCTCCCCATGTTCAACAGAAGTCTTAGGCCATCTGTCCCCTGCTCAAACTATTTGGAGTTCTTAAAAACAATTCGGGAGCCTAGCATGGTATCCCAGCACTCCAGAGGTGGGGCAGGAGAGTCAGGGGTTCGAGGCCCTCAGGGAGTTTGAGATCATTCTGCAAAACAAGCGAGCCTGTCTCAAAACCAAAACGCTCCTGTGACTATGATGAATAGTGCTACTGTTCTGAAGGCTAGGACAGTGTTTGGACAGTGTTAGCCCAGCGTTTGTGAGGCTGTGGTTGTGGGGCCCACAAGGTGATCATAATGATCAGATAATGGTAGAGCAAAGCCTTTGCAGGCTTTGTGTGTCCTGTTGTGCTCAGGAGAGAGAGGACAAGCCAGGCCTTCCACAGCTTGGAGGCTCCACTCAACTGGGACTGGAGTACTACCCACTGCAAGGAAGACCCTGCTGCATACCCTTAGCCAGGCTAGGGGAGATAGGCGAACAAAAAACAGTGTGGGGTCTGTGGGTGTTGACCAAGCACAGAATGACCTGGACCTCAGGCATGAGCACTGTTCACATGGACTCTAGCTCTTGATGTCCATATCCTGTTTCCATTCTAGGCAAGGACTCATAGCAGGGGTAAACCTGAGAGCTTTGGGGAGTTGTGGAGGAAAGAAATGGGCTAGGGAAGGGAGCAAGTGGGAAGTGTCACATGAGTTAATCTCACCTGTACCTTCCCAGAGCACCCTTCCCACCCTGCCCCATCTCCACCTTCTGTTCAGTTTCTGGGCTTCCCATTCAAAGGGAGAGCTCTAATCCCAAGAGCTTAGAGTCGTGTCACATGTATTTCAGCCCTCAGCTCTCCCTACCTTTCCTTCCTCTCTGTGGAAGTGGTGGTTCTGGAGGTTCTGGCAGAGACTGGGTGAAGGACATGGGATTAACACTGGGTTTACCCTGCCTGTTTCTGTGCACCTGGGCTCGGCTCCTCCTGAGGCAGCTTCCTGATGTCCTCATTCTACCAAGTGCACCACCCGGAAGCTCTGCGAGGGGTTCAGGCTGCCAGTGGGCTGGGGTAGGCTAGACTCTGGCTGTATTCTTGTGAGCCTGATGTACCTCTGGAGGCAGTGACTGCAACTGCATTAAAGCTGGGACAATCTGTTCTGTTGTAGCTGCTGGGAATGCTTTCTGCCAGGCTGCCCAGCTGCACCTACAGCTCCAGAGCAAACATGATGCAGCCACCTGCTTCGTGGACGCAGGCAATGCTTTCAAAAAAGCTGACCCTCAAGGTAAGAGCCACTGTGAGCCACAAATGGCAGAGCAGCTGAGCACTGTCCCCTTACCCTTAGATGTCTACACAGATCTGGGTTTTTCCATTGGCTGACACATGATAGACCAGGAGCAAAGCAAGCCCTAACTTCAGAATTGGCTGGTCCTTGGCCGGCACTGGTATCCTGTCCTATATTCCTACCTCCCCCACCCTGGTGTGCAGCTCTCACCCCCTCCTGGGCTTCAAGCATTTGGGAGTGGGAGTTCCATTTCAGACCCACTGCTTGCCAGGGAGCAGGCAAAGCTGTTCAGTTGTCAGAATTAGCACGGAGGGGCAGGGCGGTCCAAGATGAACCAGGTAGAGCAGAAATCAGCCTGATCTGCCTTCCCCGCACCCCAGAGAGGAAACTTTGAATGTGTTGCCAGAGCCCGGCTCTTTAAAGCAGAGCCTATGGGGACAGGAGCCTGGTTCAGCCAAAGCACAGCTCATGGACCTCAGACTTGGATTTCCTGGGCTGGGAAGTTTGCTTTTGTTATTTTTGTTCACTTATTTTTGTGGTGCTAGGGATGGAGCCTGAACCTCTTGTATGCTGAGAATGAGTTGTACATGTCCCCAGTCTTTAGTGTGGTTCTTTTTTAAACCTTAGAGCTACATAGATTATTAACTTTAAATTTCAGCAAGGAAAGATATTTGTTTTTTTAATTGACCATCTAAGCCAGTCATGGCAGTACATGCCTGTCATCCCAGCATTTGGGAGATAGAGACAGGAAGCTCAGACATTCAAGCCATCCCTCAGCTTTTGGCTACATATTGAGTTGGAGGACAGCCTGGACTACATGCGACTGAACCTCATAGATAAATTTTTTAAATATCTAGGATTTTTCTCTCAGGAGAATGGGAAAGAAGTGAATATTCTTTCCCAGAGGAGATGCTCAGTATTTGGATAAAGGCACACCTCTGGGGAGAAGGAAAACATCCCCTGCCCTCCCTGGAATCAGTGGATAGCTGCCATCGTTGTGACAGGACCATTCCCAGTTAGAGAGATGACTGTTGACTCTTTCCCTGGACTGACTGGTCACTCCTGTTTTTTTAGCTGTGATGTTGTGGGGCTCAGGCCCAACAAGCAGAGAGGGATGGATGGCCTTTTGGCTGGGGAGGACTTAGTTACGCCCAGTGACTCAGGGCAGTCCTCTCCTCCACAGAGCCCTCCCCACAGTTTCCTTTCTGCTCCCCTGGGAAACAGATTGACCTAAAGATGCTGCCTGGCATCTGTGCCCTTCAGCTGCTGCTCCATCCGGAGTGGCTGGAGGCACTCATTCTTAGGTGGTAGTGGCTGTCAATCTGCAGGATGCCATAGCATCATGAGCTCTATGAACAGAACTGTACCTCCCAGCTTGTGGTCATGTCCTTTTTCTCTGGGGACCCAGGTATGGGTCCCAGCTTCAGCAAGTGCAAGCTAATATGAAAGTGTATTGAGGATGCTGCAGCCAAGGGTATGCAGGCAGGGAGGGCAAACTTGCCTTACGTGGTAGGAAAAGCACAGTTGTGAGAGGAGAACTTGTGATGTTAGGGCTAGGGACTCATGCTGGGCAGAGAAGGATAGCAGCTATGTGGCATCCGGCCCTACTGCCTTGGTGCCCTCCCAAGTCACAGTTACACAGATGAGGGGAGTGCATTTGCATAAGTGACAGCAGTTCTGCCTGGGGCCAGTCAGGGCTCACAGAGAAGAGTGACCAAGCACGGGAGCCTGAGCAGATCACTCCCCCACCCCAGAGAACCCAGGGCCTTGTGCTGCACCACTAAGCTGCAGCCTGCCCCCACCACTCTGCTGTTCTTGTTTTCTCCTCCGTGACAGCACAGACTACTTTGAGGTGAGCACCACAGCTCCAGGTGTCCTGAGGGCAGCCTTGTGCTCCAGAGTCTCCCTGCATGCCTGGGTGCCCTGGGAAACAGCTGGATGACCAGTGGAGGCTTAAACACCCAGTTTCTTCAGGAGGGACCTTCCTTAGCTGTCTGATGTGATCACCTGCCCTGTAGTCTGGTGTATCAGCTCTTTAGGAATCTCACCTAAGACTTTCCATTAGCAGCAGCTGCCTGTGTGAGGTCAGAGTTTCACCCTTTTATAGCAGGAGCTTGCTGTAAATGTACATGGGCAGAGAAGTAGTCTAGCCCCACATGTCCTCTCTACCCCACACCCACTGTTGTTTCCTGGGAGCCTACTGTGTACAAGACACCTGATGTCTTTCCACCCATCCCACCTCCTCATTGGAGCCTGCAGTCTGTCCCTACTGTATTGTGGACAGTGCTTGCTTAGATCTGCCTATGATCAGGGCCTTCAGGGTAATGCAGAGGTGATCTGGGCTCTGTAACAGCCAACCTGCTCTAGACAGGCTGAGCACCCAGTAGGGCAGGAACAGACCAGAGGCCCTAACTTACCTTCAAGGATTCACTGAGGCCTGTGGAATCAGATAAGCCTGTGGTGAGAGCATCTCAGGGTTGTCAGCTGGCAGCCTATCACTTTCCAAGCTGTCCAGAGCAAGGAGCCAGCATGAGAGAACTAGGCTCTTTTAATCCATGTTCCTCCCCTGCTGCTGTGGGAGGGGGCTGTCTCACCAGTAGAGTCTATACCAGTGGGCCTTAACTACTGAAGTGCCCTCAGGAAGCAACCTTAGCATCCTTATCCCAAGAGAGTGCAGTCCACTGCCAGCCCAGTGGGCAGTCCTGGAGCCTTCCCAGCACATGCCCTATGGTTCACCTCGACCCTCGACTCTGTGACCACCCCAACTCTCTGCCTGAGTTACATTAAAGTATTTAAAAGATACTGAAAGCTTATTTCCATCTGCTGGAAAATGCCTCCCACTCACGCCTCTCTCCTTCAAATAACTTGTCCAAAAAAAAGGCCTTTCCCCAATTTAAAATCATGAAAGAGATGGTGGTACAACATAGTGCCATCCTGGTGTTGGGTACAGCTTGCTATTTGAGCAGCCAGCAGGACTGGCACCTTTTGGTGCAGAGCCCCCACAGAGAGGTCCCAGTGCTTGGTGGTATTCAGCCTTCTCTGCCGGAGAGGCCAGTCAGGCCAGTAACAAGGGTGGGACCTACTCAAGGTAGGGCCTCCAGGACAGGTGGTGGGCATGGTAGCCTCTGCCCAGCTCAGCCCTGGCTATCAGTTTGCCCTTGAACAGCTGTGCTAGTTTGAGTCAAACTCCAGGAGTCTGGCGATGCCATTATACCCTGATCCTAACAGAAAGAAAGAAGTGTGGCTGCCTAAGGGAGAGGGCCTCCCTGGAAAGATGTGCCCATCATGTCTCTGTATGCAGACACCCAGTGACCAGGTTGCCTGGGGCCTAAGGCTCCTGTCCTCTCCTTTCCGGTTGCTCTGAGAGAGCCCAAGAGCCTTGAAGTCAAGGCAGCTGTGTGCCTGTCATCTCTCTTGGGGAGAACTTTCTAACTCCTGTTTCCAGGACCTGCTGTAATGACCTCTCCATCCTCTCTTTCCTCCCTAGAGGCCATTAACTGTCTGATGAGAGCAATTGAGATCTATACAGACATGGTAAGGGTTGCTTGCTGGTCCTCTTACTCAGTGTCCCATCCTGTTTGTGCTGTGCTATAGGAGGCAGGGAAATTGTCACTGAGCTGGGCTACAGAATGGGGTGTCTGCTATAGCACACACAGCACCCCTCCTCATATGCTGCCTCTGCCCCCTTGACCATCCCTTGTCCGTGCAGGTGCTCCCCCTTGCCTAGCCCTTCCCTGGGGTCCCTAGGAACCTGAGGAATGTTCACCCGCTCCCTGTTCTAGGGATAGTGTCCTGAAAGACAGCTGCTAGTTAGTAGCCCACACTAGGCCTCTGCTCCTGTCAGTTAGGTACTATCCACCATTCACATGTCACCTCCATCTTGTGGTCAGACCCTTTACTGAGGTGGGAACCCAAGGATGCTGGATGGGATGGGTGAGAGCCTGGGCATAGAAAATGTCTCTGGTCATAGGCATTCCTTTCCTGTGTCCCCCCAGGGCAGATTCACAATTGCAGCCAAGCACCACATCTCCATTGCTGAGATCTATGAGACAGAACTGGTGGATGTGGAGAAGGTAAGCTGGTAGGCTGGATGTACTGGGTCCTTGGTGTTCCCCTTCCTACCCACCATGATGCTCAGAGTAGGAGGAGGGGTCCCTGCTGGGTGCTTGCAGAAGGCAGGTGCTGCTCCACGCTGTCCTCCACTCCAGTTGTCCCATTCTTCTGTCTCCCCAGGCCATCGCCCACTATGAGCAGGCTGCAGACTACTACAAAGGCGAAGAGTCCAACAGGTAGCCCCTCTCTAGCCTGCCCCTCCTTGTGGGGCCTGCCACTGTCCCTTCATGCTCCTCCTCCCCACAGCTCAGCCAACAAGTGTCTACTGAAGGTGGCTGGCTATGCTGCACAGCTGGAGCAGTACCAGAAAGCTATCGACATCTATGAGCAGGTGGGCTTCGCCTGGCTATCAGCTTCTGCCACCACCCCCTCTGCCCGCCCCACTCAGTCTCCACTCTCGCAGGCCACCCTCACCAAATGCTCTTCACCAGCAGCCTGTGCATGTCACCACCTTGTCCTAGATGGGTCCTGCCACTGCTCACAGGAGCTGCCTCCAGAGCTGGGTGTCCTCTCCAGAAAACTTGGGGCGGAGGGAGAAGAACTAGCAGAGCAGGGAAGTAGCAGGTGTCAAGTGCCCCTGGGACACTGCTTGTGGGGAAGCCGGGGTGTGGCCTGAAGAAAGGCAGGCAGCTGGCCCTGGGAGAAGGGTGTGCACAGTTTCTCATACTCCCACAACTGCCACCCCTCTGCCCACCAAGTGCCAGTTTCCTGTATGGCTAGCAGTGGTGCCTTCTCCCCCACTAACTTGGGCTGCCTGAAAGGCCCACAGACACCTGGCTTCTCCTATTCCACCCACACCCTCATTGTGCCCTGGGCAACTAGGTAACCCTGCTGAGCTGTCCCTGATCGCTGTCATCCTGAGGTCCCTGGCCCTGCCCCTAGGATACAGGTTTAGCTCCTAGCAGACTTTAGAGCTGCAGTGACCTTCACCCTTGAGTTGCCTGCCTGAGCTCATGGTATATATGGCTATAGGTAGGGACCAGTGCCATGGACAGTCCCCTCCTCAAGTACAGCGCCAAAGACTACTTCTTCAAGGCTGCTCTCTGCCACTTCTGCATCGATATGCTCAACGCCAAGGTGAGCCCACACCAGCCAAGCCACCCCTGGAGGCTGCCATTGTTTGTTACCAGGCCAGATCATGTCTTGGTATTAGAGGACAGTTTCTCCACTTGGCCCTTGTGCCTTGGTTAGAATGGAAGACGATTTGGCATTAGTGTTTTTCACCCTGGTGTCCCTGCCTAGAACTGAATGCTTTTGTGAGTTCCCAGCTGCTGGCTGGCTCCTTGCTGGCCTCTGCCCTCCATGGGTTACTGTTAAATCCTGACTGTCCCATCCACTTGTATTACAGAAGCTGCTGAGGCCAAGGCACAGTTCCTGCTAGACCCTGGGATCCCTGGTGGCATGTCTTTAACTTTGGCTCTTGCTTCCTGGCAAGAGAGGTCAGGGATAGGGAGGTGGAAGGATCTGGAAACTGGATGTTGGATTTCAATCCTCTGGTGCTTCCTGATCCGCCCACTGGGGCTACATGGTGTCTGGCTGCCCCACAGTCCTCCCCACTTGTCTGAGGACAGCTGGCAGCTGTGCATTTAGGAAGGTGGAACAGTTTGCTGTTTTTACTTTTTGTGGTAGGGATGGAACTTGAGGCCTCATGCTTACTATGCAAGCGATCTTCTAGGGATGTGAGCCACATCCCTAGCTCTCACTGATGAAGAATTATGGTTGGGTTTTGTCAGGACAGGTCCATACCTGCCCTCCCACCTCCCACACCCCTAGCATTCCCAGTGTGTGTTTTCCCACTGTCATTTAACCCACCCAAGGTCCTTAGAAGGATTCTGTGTGTGAAGGCCCAGCTGTAGGCCTGGCATGTGGGGTGGGCTCTTTTTTCTCCTTTCCCACCCCCTGCCTGGGAAGCCTGCTCCCTGCCTGTAGCCTCTCTTGTAAGTTGGATTGAGTTGAGTTAGGGATGGTGCCATCAGTCATGAGTCAGGTGACCCTGGCAGGTCCTAGAGCACCAAATCAGAACTGCCAATGAATGTTTCCAGTGCCCTTAGCTTTTCTCACCCTCTCCATTGCTCAGCTTGCTGTTCAGAAGTATGAGGAGCTGTTCCCAGCCTTCTCTGATTCCCGGGAATGCAAGTTGATGAAAGTGAGTGCTGACCCGGTGCCCTGACGTGGGGAGGAAATGTGCCTGGGTGCCTGCGTCTCAGCTGGGGGAACCACCAAAACTGTTCAGAGACATTTTCAAAGGGCTGTGTTTGGTTTGGTTTTCTCCTGTCATTCTGCTCTGTTTTCTACATGAGACAAGTTAATACAGCGACAGTAGAGGGAGCCTGGGGTGTCCCCCGTCCCCCGTCCGTCCCCTCCCCCTGCACAGCATCTGCTGGGTCCAGCTGACCCTGACCCTGTTTGCAGAAGCTGCTGGAAGCCCATGAGGAACAGAATGTGGACAGTTACACAGAATCGGTGAGTGGCTGGAGCAGGGGTCTGCTGGTGGATCTTCGATGTGTTGTCATAAATCCTGCCCTCCTTGAACTCCAGACGCTAGGTCCTGGCTGAGCTTCCCTCCCTGTGGTTCACCCTGGAACGCTCTGTGTTTGCCCCACTTTATAGATAGTGGCACAGAGGCTGAGGAGAGTCCGCTACTTGCCCCGATCCTTTGGGATTACAGTCTATCTCCGCCCCCCAAATCAAGGTTTTCATAATTTCTCAAGAGCCCCTGGGGGCAGCGAGGCTATCTAAACCCTTTCTCTGCTCCTTAGCACCCAGCTGCCTTGGAGGATCTGTTCCCACTGCCGCTCTGCTCTGAACATTCTGGAAAGCCATTTGTTTCCAACTATGTCCTATCCTGGCTCTCTAGCCAGTACTTGTCACTGACATCTCTCACTGGGTGCCCCCAGTCATTTAGATCCCCGAGGGAAGAGGTTAGACTGGCCATTTCCCACCTGGTATAAGGATGGAAGAGGCAGTGTTTTCATGGCTTCAGGCCTCAGTTCCACCCACAAAGCCAAGATGCTGGGAGGGACTTTTAAGCTACAAAATCTTTACTGCCAGCTCATGCTTCATGCTTTGCAGACCAAGAAGACAGGGTACCCTCTTGGAAACCTTGGAACTGGGGCCAGGGAGGGTGCCAGGAAGGAGTAGAGTGTGTCATGGATCACCCTCCCTGTGTTACAGGTGAAGGAATATGACTCCATCTCAAGGCTGGACCAGTGGCTCACCACCATGCTGCTGCGCATCAAGAAGACCATCCAGGGTGACGAGGAGGACCTGCGCTAGGCCTCCAGCCACTGCCTTCCACCCATCTGTTAGTAGAGAGGTGGGGCCCAAACACCTCCCACCAGGAGTTTGAAGGCTGAGTGGGTGCAACGCGGGCCACATCCTCCAGGGCACCAGGCAGGCTCTGCTGGCTGGATGATCACCCTGTGCCCGTTGCATCCCTCACCGTGCCATTTATTTAAGCCCCCAAAGGTGTCCTCCTGCCCTGGAAACCACCTGGACAGAATCTCCAATACAGACCTCTCTGTGTGTGGCAGGAACCTGGGGTCAAGCATCCAGTCCCATCTTCTTACCAGCTGTGTGCTAAGGCTTTTTCTATCTTTCCTACCCTGTCCCCCAACAGAGATAAGAACACAGGTAGTTCTGAGACTTGCTCTTCCTGGCTGGTGGTGACTTCTACCCCTGGAGCCTTCCCCTGCCCCCTACAATAACAGCCTCTCAGGTTAGATCCAGCCCTGGAACTCAACAGGGTTGCCTGGGCCCTGCCCTGTGCCTGCTTTTTTCCCTGCATCCAGGTCTGTCTATAGACCTGAAGCTGCAGCTGGCCCAAAAAGGACAATAAAACCTGCCACTTTTGCATGAGTCTCTTCTGGTGTCCCTTTTGCCCGTGTTGTCATTCCCCTCGGGCCCTGGCTGTCCTGTGGGCAGTTAGCGGTTTCTCCAGCTGAACTTCAGACTCTGATAAAGAGCAGACTGGCGTGCAGTCTGTAAGCTGAGGGTGGGCCCTGATTGCTCTCCCCACCCCGCTCCTTCCACACTGCCAGGAGAGATGGCAGGAGCCTCATACCCACTCCACCCCCACATTGGGTTTGCCATGGCTGGGTCCTTCCCTTTGGGATTGCCCTGGCCAAAGCAGGACCAGTAGAAAATGTTGGCCTTCCAGACATCCTGCTCTGCTCCTCTGTCCCTCCAGTGCCCCCACAGCTTCAGTCAGTTGATAACTTTGAGCGGTCCTCAGCTCTAGAGAAACCTAAGGCTGGAGACTGACCGTTCATTGTCCACTATGAGCGTTGCTAAGGAGACCTGTGAATCTGTTGTCCATTCCCAAGTCTGAGTCTCAGCCCTGCTCTGCTTCCAAACTGCCAACCATCTACAAGCCAGGGCCACATCCTGCTGCTCTGCTTAGACCGAAGTCGCCACCCTTCTGGTGTTTTAGAAGCTTCATAAGTGGCTCATATAATAAGTAAACATGGATTATAAATTGCCACTTGAGTCAGAAACAGCCTGATGAAAACAAACTACACAGCTTGAAGAGATGGCTCAGTGGGTAAAGCACTTAACGCAACAAGCATGAGGACCCAAGTTCAGATCCCCAGCACCCACGTTAAAAAGCACTGGCATAGCTGAGTATGGTGGTACACACCCTTAGTCCGAGCACCCAGGAGGCAGAGGCAGGTGGACCTGTGTGAGTTCAAGGACAGCCTGGTCTATAGAATTGAGTTCCAGGACAGCCAGGGCTACACAGCAAAACCCTGTCTAAAAAAAAAAAAACAAACACTGACATGACCGCACGTACTTTTAACCCAGGAAGTTGGGGCACGGGCAGGATTGCTGGGGCTTGGTAGCCAGAAGCATAGTATCAAGTTCAGCAAGACACCCTGTCTCAAAGGACTGTGAGTAATAGATCAAGATAACTGATAGCCCATCTTCCCGTGTATGTGAACTACACATGATGAATTCATTACATACTCATAGACACAAAACTTGGGAGGCCATGCCGGCCTTCACATCCCATTCACTCTGGATGATTCAGAGAACAGCTGCTGGGTGCACAGTACTAGGCCCGCCTGCCAGGAGCTCGTCACTAAACCAGGCATCTGGGGTGCTCCAGCTCCTCCATATCCACACTACCTCTGAAGACTGCCCATATAAGGTCTCAGTACTAACAACATTGGCCAAGGGCCTACCACAGAGTTGGAGGTATCTAAATACATGTATGCACTGCACAGGTGCCATGGCCCTCTTGTGGGGGTTAAAGGACATTGTCAGTCAACCCTCTTTCCTTTTTGTTGAGGCAGGGTCTTTTTGTTTTGTTTTGAAACAAGGTCTCACTATGTAACTTTGGCTGTATACCAAGCTGGCCTCAACTCACAAAGATCTGCCTGCCTCCACGTCCTACATACTGGAATTAAAGATGTGGGCAAGTCAGGATCTTTATGCTGCTGTGCTGAGTACTCCAAGCTAACTGGCCAATGAGCTTCCAGCTCTACCACCCCAAAGGAGTCCTGGGGTTAACAGATGTGCATCCCTTGTCTGGCTCTCTTTCAGTCTGGATTCCACACATTCAACGGGTTGTTGTGAGGCTTGCATCGCAAACACCTTTACCATCTGAGCCATCTTCCTGGCCCATAGTTGGTGGGCTTTTTTAAAACATGTTTACTGAGCCTGCTTTGTATCGGGCCATGTATTCCAGGTGCTGAGGTTTGATTGTGACAATGAAGTGGCAAATCCAGGCCCCCTGAAGGCCTTGAAATTGGGAGCATCTGGCTTGCAACCCTTCTCCATCATTGAACACATCCCTGCTCTCCCTGAGCTTCAGGCTCATCCTCTGTAAAGCCTTTGCATAGTTCTGGTGAGGAATTTGTGACAGCCAGGTGTAGTCTGAATGGTTCTGCAGACTGTCACTATGAATGTTCAATAAAGCAGGTGATTTCATCTGCCATCGGCATGGATAGGTTAACCGATCTTTCACCTGGGATCAGAGTACACTTTACTCCCGGTGGTAGTGGCGCACACGCCTTTAATCCCAGCACTTAGAGGCAGAAGCAGGTGGATCTCTGTGAGTTCAAGGCCAGCCTGATCTACAAGAGCTAGTTCCGGGACAGGCTCCAAAGCTACACAGAGAAACCCTGTCTTGAAACAAACAAGAAAACAAAAGGTACACTTTACTGTTTTAAAGGTGATATTGCTAAGTATGAAGTTATAATTTATTTAGGTTTAATCCTAGCTGCTGCTTACTATCTGTGTGCTCTTAAAAATTTACTTACCTCACCGAGCATTGGTGGTGCACACTTTTCATCCCAGCACTCAAGAGGCAGAGGCAGGCGGATCTCTGTGAGTTCAAGGTCAGCCTGGTCTACAAGAGCTAGTTCCAGGACTAGGACTGTTGCACAGAGAAACCCTGTCTCAAGGAAAAAAACAACAACAAAAAGAGTACCTTAGGGCCAGCTAGATGGCTCAGCAGGTAAAGGCACTTGCCACCAAGCTTGATTACCTGAGTTTAATCCTTGGGACTCACATACTGGAGAGAACTGACCCCCACAGTTGTTCTCTGATCACATGACACGGTACACAAATAGTAAAGATGAGTGAATAATAAGAGGACCCACTTTAGAAAGACGTATTTATGCTCTCAGCACTTAGCAGACAGAGGTAAGAAGACTGTCACAGTTTGAGCCCAACCTGATATGTAAATTACAGGTTCAGTCAGGGCTGTGAAGCAAGATCCTGTCTCTAAAAAGAAAAAAGACAAGGTATGTCCTTCAGCCTCAGCTTGATTATGAGTTTTAATTAAATTGACAGATGGAATGTGCTTATACAAAAGGGTTATAATTAGGTTTTATTCTTTTGTTCTGGTACTTTTTGTTGGAGAATGCGTATATTTTTAGGTGTGTGTGTGGGGGTGTCTCATGTAGGCAGGCTAGCCTGGAAACTACCTATATACTCAAAGTGGGCCTCAAACTCTGTGTAGCAGAGGATGATCTTGAACTCCTGATCCATCTGCCTCCACTTTCCAAGTGCTGGAATCACAGGCGTACACATACACACACCGTGATGATCATGGTGATTCTTATTCTATTTTCCACACCGCTTACAAAAAAAGGCCAGGAGCCGTTCCCTTCTCCCATGTCAAGTCCTAGAAGACCCTTTCCTTAGCTCTGAAATGGGGCGAAAACAGAGCACGCAGGCGCAGTAAGACAACGTTGTCTGGGCCGCCCAGGAAGGAAGCCGAGCACCCGCTTAGGAGAAGGCAACGATGGCCGCTTTTTTGACGTCATCAGTGTGCGCGAGTGGCGGTTCCCGGGCAGGTTGTGGAGCAACAAGCCAGCTGGGACTGACCACGGAAGGTCGGGATGGGGGAGGCGGCCGTGGCGGCGGGACCCTGTCCACTCCGCGAGGACAGCTTCACACGGTTTTCGTCGCAGAGTAACGTGTACGGGCTGGCAGGAGGAGCAGACGGACGAGGGGAGTTGCTAGCCGCCACACTTAAAGGCAAAGTGCTCGGCTTCCGCTACCAAGACCTCCGACAGAAAATCAGGCCTGTGGCCAAAGAACTGCAATTCAACTACATCCCCGGTGCGTGGCACTGTGGTGTAGGGGGCGGGACTGGAGTCTGGTGTTGCAGGGGAGGCTAAGACTGTCTTTGGTCACTGTGATGCGAGGTCAGGGTTAAAGCTGGTAATCAAAAGCCGGGCGGTGGTGGCACATGCCTTTAATCCCAGCACTCAGGAGGCAGAGACAGTCAGATCTCTAAGTTCGAGGCCAGTCTGGTCTACAGAGCAAATTTCAGGACAGCCAGGGCTACACAGAGTCACCCTGTCTCAAGAGAGAAAAATAAAAAGAAAGAGAAAAAAAACTAAACTAAACCCTGGTAATCATTAGGTTCCGATACAGGGGTCGTCAGGGTCTGAAGTAATTAGGGTCTAGGATTTCGCAAACATAGAGGTTAACAGCGTGGTACCTGGTTAAGACTCCCGCAGACCCAAAGGTTTTACTACAATGTAGGAAGTCAGTGTGATTCAGGAGTGATCGGTGAACTTTGAACTCTTCTCGTAGTGGATGCTGAGATCGTCTCCATCGACACTTTCAACAAGTCACCCCCAAAGCGAGGGCTGGTTGTGGGCATCACATTTATAAAGGTACCTCGGCGCCCTCCACCTGTCCACACCCTCTTCCTTAGTCTCCCCCAAGTGCCCTGAATCTGCTCCAGATGCCTCTCGCCTCCTCTACCTCCCCTGAGGGCAGTTTCCACCCCTAGGACTCAGGAGACAAGGGCAGTCCTTTTCTTAACATTTACTGTGACTATGAACCTGGCTCGGAATACAACCTGGACTCCATTGCAGGTGAGTAGAGCCTTGGGGAGAGGGTGGACTGGGCTGGCAGGTGCGGCTGGGTTCAGCTTGTGTCCTTTCTGCAGAGAGCTGCCTGAATTTGGAACTCCAGTTCACCCCTTTCCAGCTGTGCCACGCAGAGTGAGTGACCGTGGGCACCCCTGCTTTCCCGCCTTCCTCTGAGGCTTTTGCCCTATCTGGAAGACAAAAGAGTTTTAACAGACTAAGGGTTGGGTGGAAACAGGTATTGTTAGGGGCCCAAGAAGTGATGGGAAGTATAATCAAGAAGTGGGGTTTCATAGTTCGGTAGCAGATTGGAACCCATATACCCGCCATCACCAGTCTGGTTCTGATGGTGCTTTTTGGAGTGAATGCAGCCAAGATGACTAGGGAACCACCACATTGTCACCTGTCAGGTGGCTCATTCCAGAGAGTTAATTGAGCCCCTAGAACTCAACTCCAAAAGTTCTGGATCTCTACTTCCCAGACCTGGGATCATTCTCAAGAGTCAGAAGCGCTGAGGTCTCCAGACTTAAAAGGTGCAGTTGAAGGTTGGGGATACAGCTCAGGCAGCTGAACACTTGCCTAGCACACACAAAACTCTGGGTTCCGTTTCCAGCACTATATAAGCCAGTCATGGTCGGTGCATGCCTTTAGTTCCAGCATTCAGGGGATGGGGACAGAAAGATCAGAATTTTGTTCAAGGTCATCTTGGGCTACATAATGAGTTTAAAGCTAGCCTGAGTTATACAGACCCTGTCTCAAAAAAAGATTCTACCAAACCCAGAAGCTGCTGAGAATCTGTAGACGGACTTGTAAGGAGGTAGACTTCAGAACATCTAGAATCTTTAGGTTCTCATTTAGAATCCCAGAGCACATGGGTTCTACTTCAGGACTTCAGAAATCCACGAGGATTGGCAACATTTTTTTGCAAGTTTTTTTTCTGTCAAAGCCCAGTTAGTAAATGCTAAGTTTGGAGGGTCAGACAATTAGTATCACAGCTGCACAGTTCTGCCAATGGAGCAACAGGACACTGTGGATGAATGGCTGGGGTTGTGCTAATAAAATTTTATTTACAAAAAGCACTCAGTGGATGGGTTGGATTTGGTCTATAGGTCCTAGTGGCCAGATCTCTAGTCTAGCAAGTGAGAATTATAAAAATGAATCTTTTGGAAGGATAAGGGGGTACATGCATGTGCTTGTGCAAGTATGTACTGGTGTGCATGCGTGTATGTGAATACCTTATCATGAATCAAAGCCTCAATGTGTAGCCCCAGGCCAGCCTTGGACTTGAAATTCTCCTACCTCAGCCTTCCCAGTGCTGGGATTTCAGACAAGCATTATCCTGCCAGATTTGGAATCTACAAGATTCAAGATGCCAGGATTTGCATGATTCGAGATAGTCAGGGTAAAGATTTCTAACAGTTCTGGTCTACCAGAGGAGACAAGAAATAGGGCTTCAGAATCATGGGGTTCTAGAGGGAAGAGGTTTTCTGGTTGTGTGGTTCTCTATTGCTGTTTGTTTGCTGGGTTTTTGTTTTGTTTTGTTTTGACAACATCTTTGTGCCCTGGCTGTCTTAGAACTCACTGTGTAGGTCAGGATGGCTTGAACTCACAAAGATCCACCTGCCTCTGCCTTCTGAGTCCTGAGATAGATTCCTCTATATTTACTTGTTTGCAAGAGGGTCCCACAGCATGTGGGTGGAGGTCTTGAGAACAGCCCTCGGGAGTCAGGGCTCTCCTTCCTCTTTGTGGTCCTGGGGTTCAAATCCAGGCCATCCCGAATGGTGGCAGTTGCCTTTACCCAATGAGCCATCTCATCGACCCTTGCCACCAGTGAGGTTTTGCAGACTCATTCTCGAGGACCCTCTCCTATTCCTGTAGTGAAACTTCTAGCAGTTGGGGGCTGTCAGCAGGCTCCCTGCACCTGCACTGGCTGCTCTGAGATCACAAGGGTCCGCCGCGTACATAGTCTGCAGAGCGCTAGGTCATGCAGCTCTCAACTGAATCTCTGAATGGTAGGGTTCTTGCCAGCAAAGGTTTTTGGTTTTTTGTTTTTTTATTCAGTCTGGGTGTGGGAAGTACAGGTGGGAAGATCAGTTGTTCAAGGTCAGCTATAACTACACACCACGAGTTCAGTACCAGCCTGGGGCACAGGAAGTCCTATCTCAAAATAAATTGACAGTGGCATTTCTAAATCCTTGGAGGAATTCAACTCCACACAGGTCCCAGCACATTCTAAATTTCTCTGCTTTCAGAGTCCAGGTTGGGAGCCAACTGGAGACTGTCTTTCTCCTGAGCGGGAATGACCCAGCCATCCATCTCTACAAGGAGGTGAGGCGGGCAGGTTGGGCACAGGCCGGTAGGGAATCCCCACTGCGGTGATGGCCTGTGTGCAGGAGCCTGATGACTCACTCAGAGTCCGGCTCTCGTTCCCCCAGAATGAGGAGCTACACCAGTTTGAGGAGCAGCCCGTGGAAAACCTCTTCCCAGAGCTCACGAACCTGACCAGTAGGTAGGAGGGGACCCTGCCCATTCACCCACTGTGCACCCAAACAAGGGACCAGGACACTGACTGCAGAGAAGCCAGATAGAGCAGGCAGCCATCTAGTGCAATACACAGTAGAGGCCACCTTGGGGAAACTAGGAAGTATCTTGGGATGTCACTCAGTTGGTAGAATATTTACCTAGCGTGCTCAGAAGCCCTAAGTTCCATTGCATAACCTGGAGCACCATAAAATCCAGGCACAATAGTGCACACCTGTGACCTCAGCACTCCGGTGGTAGGGAAAGTAGGGTCAGGAGTACAAATTCGTCCTTGACTGTATCATGACTTTGAAGCTAGCTTGATCTATGTAAGACCCTGTCTTAAAAAAAAAAAAAATGCAGCCGGGCAGTGGTGGCGCACGCCTTTAATCCCAGCACTTGGGAGGCAGAGGCAGGCGGATCTCTGTGTGTTCGAGACCAGCCTGGTCTACAAGAGCTAGTTCCAGGACAGGCTCCAAAACCACAGAGAAACCCTGTGTCGAAAAACAAAAACAAAATGCAGCTAGGTAGCGTGTTCTCTGGTTGCAGCATGACCTCAAGAAAATTGGTTAGAATGGGGCTCAGTGAGCATCTATGGTGGTGCCTGGTCCCCTAGTGCTCCTGGGAAGCAGAGATTGGGCTGGAGCTCTGGGCTGTCTACCTGTCTGTCCCCCCATCCATCATCCTCTCGCCAGTGTCCTGTGGCTCGATGTCCACAACCTGCCTGGCTCGTCTCGGCGGCTCACGGCTCTGGGCTGCCAGAGTGGCTATGTGCGTGTGGCTCACGTGGACCAGAAGAATCAAGGTGAGGGTCAGGCCTGGGGCGGGGACAAACCTAGGGATGGGGACAGGTCCCTGAGTGTCTCCCTGCTCTCCACGCAGAGATTTTGCAGACATGGACAATCCTGCAGGATGGGCCCATCTCCCGTGTGATCGTGTTCCGCCTCCCCAGTTCCGATGGTGAGCTCTTTGCTCTCAGCCTGGAATCTGGAGAGTGGACTCTGCAGGCTCAGCTGTCCCCACCCTAAGAGCCCACACTTGTGCTCCCCCTGCGCCCTTCCAACCCATAGGCTGTGCCACAGATTGGACTCCGGTCATTTCTTTTAGCACTCAACCCCATTCTTCCCATTGTGTTTTCACCTTGAACTTTGTCCCTACGGTCACCATTCCCTTAGTGGTCTAACCTTCATTTCTCATGTTATCTTACACTGACTCACCCCACCCCAGCCTTCTCACTCCCTCTGGACTAAAAACTCTTCTGTCAATCATGGTCTCACCCCATCCCCGAGTGCTAGTTTCTTCCTATTCCTTGATCTTGGTCTGTCCTATACTGACAGTCACCTTGACCTGCCCTGTGCCTTCTAAACAGGGTTCCCCCATCCTCACACTGTGGTCTAACCTTAGACTTCAACTCTAATCTAACCTTTGTCTCTCCTATTGTGTTCTAACATTAGCCTTTTTTGTATTTTTTAAATAGTCATCTAACACCTGTGTAATGTCTGGCCACAGTCATTTTGTAGTCCAATCTCTAATCTTTGTCCTGAGGTCTAGCCTTTGTTCTTCACTACAGGAGGGAAAGGGATAAGGAAGAGCCTGTCCCCACAGGCTCTCCAACTCCTGTCTCTTCCCTAGCAACCGAGGACAGCGCACAGCAGGAAGGATACAGTCTGCTTGTTGCCAGCATGTTGGAGCCAGCTGTGGTGTACTGGTAAGGGCACCTGAGGCTTCTGGTGTAGTTCAACCTCATATGTATGTGGTGTGGTCTAACCTTGTCAATCCTTTGGGGTGGTTAGGATCAGAAGTGCTGTGGTCAGGGAAGAGGTGAGAGTGCTCACATCTGGATCTCGTAGAGAATTTGCTAAGGGTGGTTATGTCTTCCTACCCTTAGAGAAACCCATACCCCTGGCATGGGTGGACCAGGGGTGCCAGCAGATGCTCAGTTGTGAAGGCCTCGACATGTAGTCCTTGGCAATTTCCGTGGTGTCACTGCTCCCACCATCAAAATTGTGACATTGTAATGCTAAAATAGACAGTCAGCTCTGTGTGTGCTGGGGATGGGGAGGGGAGGCGGTATCTCATGAAGTCAAGGCTGCCCTCCAACTACACTGCTAAGAATGACTTTGAACTCTCGGTTTCCCTGCCTCTACCTCTGCTGGGATTGCAGGCAAGCGCCACCACACTGGATTAAACCCAGGGCTTCATTCATGCTACAGTCTACCAACTAAACTACGTCCCCAGCCCCCACACCCCCACTCTCCCACTCCACCTTCCCCTCACTCAAGTACAAGTATGTACACACACTGCCATCATCAGCTCCTGTGAGCTAGTTCCACCCAGCTCTGACACACTCTGGGTTGAGAGTGAAAATATCAATGCAAGTACAGAGTTCTCCGTACTTTGTAAGGCACCGAGCACTTAGGTGAGGGACCAGGGCACCTGTGTCTCCAGGAGCCACAATGGGGGGGGTGCACTCCTGGGAGCACCGTGGGGCATCCAGGATGGAGTCCACAGGATGAACATGAGGCCATCCCCTGGAGAGATAGGTTGGCCCTGTGTGGGGACTTCAAAGTTACTTACATTAAAACCAAGGTGCATGTCTCCAAAAATGTGGGTTTGGACCTCAGGGGAAGCCAGTTGGGCATCATCTACAGTCTGAAACCAAAGGCAGCAGGACCCTGACATATGACCTTCCCCTTACTCCCATATTGGGGACCCTCAGGGACCTTCTGAACCAGGGCCTGGAAGACCAACTTCTCCTGCCCAGCAGTGACCAGTTTGACAGTGTCCTCTGTGGCCTGGTCACTGACGTGGACCTAGATGGACAACCAGAAGTCCTGGTGGCCACCTATGGACAGGTGGGTCTTGAGAGGATCCTGTCACTCATCTGTTCCTGCAGTGACCATCCTCAGCCTGAATGACCTTGACCCCTCTGCCCACAGGAGCTGCTATGCTACAAGTACCATGGGCTGCCTGAGGCCAGCAGAGGCTTCCGCCTGCTCTGGCGAAGGACCTTTGCCAGCCCCCTGCTGGCCATGGCCCATGTGGACCTGACTGGGGATGGACTGCGGGAGCTGGCCGTGGTATCCCTGAAAGGGGTACATATCCTCCAGGTACTAACCATTATTCATTTATTTGTAGGGGAAAAGCTCTACCACTGAGCCACACCTCCAGCCCCTCACTGGGGGATTCTAGGCAGGGGCTCTACCACTGAACCACACCCCCAACCCCTCACTGAGGGATTCTAGGCAAGTGTTTTACCACTGAGATACACCTCAGTCCTCACTGGGGAATTCTCAGCAGATACTCTTGTTGAGCCATACCTCTAGCTCTTGGTTTTTTGAGACAGGCTCTCACTCTCACCCAGGAAGGCCTTGAATTTACAATCCCCCTGCCTCAGCCCATGGAGTATCTGAGCCTACAGACCTGTGCCATCTGGCCATGCTACATGCTCTATTCTTTACTCTCACCTGAGTACCATAGTCTCTAGATTTCTTCCAAATTCTGTTGGTCAGTCATGCCTTACAGTGTCTACCCCATCCCAAGGACTAGCCTCAGATCTGCCCATCATTGGGCTGGTCCTGATCTCCTTCAGTTTACTAGGTGTCTCTGTTTGGATACAGCCTACCCTTTCCCCCCATAGCCTGCTTTCCCTTCCCATCTTCCCTTGGTAGTGTGGTCTAGCCCCCAGACCACTGTTAAGTTTCTGATTTCTATATCGTGTGGTGTGTGTGTGTGTGTGTGTGTGTGTGTGTGTGTGTGTGTA